ACTTGCTTGTTGCTCTGCCATGTTTAGTAACATTCTACATGCTCATCTTCTGCCTTGGAAATATTTAGACAGCTACTGTAAGCTTCAAGAGGAATAATATCTTGTTTATTTTTATATTCCAAGATGCCTGACTTGTAAGAAATGCCTAATAAATGCTTATTAAGTGAATGAATGAGTATATGACCAATGATAAAAAGAGCCAGTGTAGATTGCTTACTAGCTAAAGGCACTGTGATAAGTAATGTAAGTATTCATTCCTTTCCTTATCAGCAAATGTTTGGAGGGTATTCAATGGGTTCTAAATAGCTATTAACTAATCAGGTAGCCTTGAGATAGTCATTTAGCCTCTTATGAAGTCAATTTACTTATTTATGAAAGAAGAGATGAGCAAAGTGACTCTTAAGACTATTTCTAAATTAATGTGGCCATAAATAAATATAGAGCATTTGAAGTCATGAAAACAGTGAATGGGAAGATAAGATGGTTAAGGACAAATGCTCTGGAATCTAATCCAACTGGGTTAGAATTCCAAAATCCACTATGCAGTTATGTGACCCTGGGCAATTAAATTCCAGCATCTTCCATTTCCTCATAAGTAAAATGTAAGTAGCGATGTTGGGAGGACCTAGAAGTATCTGACATACCATTTTATTCTCAAAAACAGCAGACAGACATTACTACTGGTTCTGGCAAATCTCTCACTTTTATTATCTTTCTCTTATGATTTAGTAAATGCTATGGATAGAGCTTGCCACATGTCAGACACTGTTCTGAGTGAAGTTTCATAGTACCTCTATGAGGTAGGTAATTTTGGCTCTGGGAAACTGAGGCAAATAGATAACTTTCCCAAAGTCACCTAAATGGTAATCGTACTGGGATTCTACACTCAGGAGTTCAATTCTAAAGCCAGGACTCTTAATCACTATGCTCTTTTCTTCTCAAGTCAACCATTGGCACTTTCAGTAGAAAAGGCCTACAAACTGGCTGCTCTAAGAAATACTGTAGTAGAGAGATTAAATGGCTTTGCTTATGGGGAAACTGTAACCTGTGTATCATACTCTGGACAATAAAAGATTAGCAACGAAGTCAAATATGCTTTTATTTCCTCTAAGAGTCATGTCTTTGTAGACACTGACAATTTTTTTTTACACATAGGTGTGGCTGGCTGCGTTTGGGACCTTTCTTTGCAACTGTATCTGGGAGGAGGCCTTCCCTAAAAGTTCAAGGGTGTGTTGGTATTGACTTTAAGAGACTTTAGACACTGATCTCAGAAAGCACCACCCAAAGAGCAGGCATAGGCGAGGCAGAGGCTGCGGCTTACAACTTGGACATGCCATGATGCTATAGAAAAGAAGACAAACATGATTCGCATGTCTGGGCCTCTGCAGCAGCTCTGTTCAGATTCATGTACAGAGTAAATCCCTATGGAGGAAAGGAAAAGTAAAGATGGAGAAAGGAAAAAGAGTAATTCCCAACTCTCGGGGTTCTATTCAAATGAGGCCCAAACTGCCACTGCCACTCACAAAAGAGCAAAACAACTCTTTCTAATCAGATGTAGAAAGCAATTGGCCAGCAAGCTGGTTTCTTTTTACAATGATGATTGGAAAATTGACAACAGATGGTATCTTAAGAAATGTTACAAACACTGGGTCTCTTCCTCCCAAGACCTGTTAAGTAACACCAGGACACCTCTGTACACAAATACAGTCTAGAGGAGATAGTTGAGAAGTAGGAAGCCAACGGTCAGGACACAAAGAGTGTTTTAGAAAAGCCAGGACTATAACAGCTCTGCTTGTGCTCCACTTAGATTAAATCTGCAGAGTATCTTATGGTCAGATTATTCACCTCCAGATGAAAACCAAACTTATTTCACAGATCTTTGAAACACCTAGAAGAGATACTGGATTTCATTCTCCTTTTAAAGATGAGGAAGGAAATGGAGCCACAGGGATCTATTTGACCAGACAGGCCACTGAAGTACTAATCAATATTAGAAACTTGATGGGGGTTTTTTGTTGTTGTTGTTTGTACTTTTACTAACAGACTTAAAACATATGTTTAAAGCAGACCAATTCGCATGTCATAATTGGGTGCAGGGCACGATAGAGATCAACAGAGAATAACTGCCCTAACTGGAATTTAGCTCACTTGAGAAAAACTCCCTCAGATGCTATGCTATGAGAGCGACCCTTCCATGTTCCTTTTAAAAGTGTTCTTTCTTTGAAAGGCAGATTCACACATACTCTCTCTCTCTCTCTCTCTCTCACACACACACACACACTCTCAGATCTTTCATCTGTTGGTTCACTCCCCAAATGCCCACAAAACCCAGGTCTGAACCAGGTCAAAGAACAGGCACTCCAGATGAGTCTCTCACTTGGGGGAGTAGGTGAGGGCAGGAATCCAAGTACTTGGTGGCTTACTCTACTGTGCCACAATCTTAAAAAAAAAAAAAAAAAAAGTAATTCAGTGAATGCCCTGAGGGACATATGTAAGACTCTTGCTACTCATTGTGAGTAACATGAAGATGTACATAAAGATAAGAAATTATAACTTGATCTTATTTTGCAGGAGGAGAATTGAGCATAGTAGAAAGATTCAAGGTTTTCTATACAATAGGCCTAGAGTTGAATTCCACTTCTGTCACCGAACAGAGCTATGTGATTCAAGTTGTTTAATTGAGCCTTGATTTCCTCTTCTATAAAATTCCAATAAAGAGATACATACTTGCATAGGGTTGCTGTGTGGATAGAATGAACAACTCTCCAGAATTTTAACAAGACTTTGACAAGAAAAATACATCACATGATTAGAAAATGCCACATGCCATATGAAAAGTATTTCCTCAGAGAAGGAAAAGGTAATATTTGTATAAAAACTGTTTGACTTTACTTGTTTTCTGTTTAGATTCTGAGTGACTCACCAGTAGCTATAACTACATGGCATATAGCATGTTAGCATGTATGCTGTTTATTACTATGTATTTCCTCAGTAATATATGTTATCACCCTTCAGGTTGCTGTAAACAAGCACATTTGGGCTTGGTATAATTTGCCTTAGTTTACAGAACACTGTTTCTGTAGCATGGATCAAAAGCATGTATAGATGTTTCATATTTGAATAAAATTGTTATACAGTTGAATCAATATATGGCAGCCTAATTTTCAGGGTCCTTGATGAAGAGAAATGGGAAAGGCAATCGAATAAATTTTTTGGTGTTATGCTTTCTAGGTTAAACTTGGGGGGAAATCCTTATGAAGACTACTCAATATTAACCTTTTTTTGTAGAAAGAGCATTTCTTTGGATTCACTTAAGAATGATGGGGGATTCTAACCATATGACATGCCTTAACCCATGAGATTGTACCATGTTGGAAAGTAAGCCTTTGTTTGATGTTTAAACCTTCCTGCAGAAAGCTTCCCGCCAATCTCAGCGGGCGGGGGAGGGTCTTTGCTGGAAGCACACCTTATATACACATTGACCCATCAAATGAGATGCTTCTAAGCTCTCAACTCTAACGCTGCTTTTTAAAACCATAATGTATCTATTAAGCAATAATTTAATTTTTTTTTGACAGATAGAGTGGGCAATGAGAGAGACAGAGAGAAAGGTCTTCCTTTTGCCATTGGTTCACCCTCCAATCGCCGCCGCAACCGGCGCGCTGTGGCCAGTGCACCGCGCTGATCCGAAGCCAGGAGCCAGGTGCTTCTCCTGGTCTCCCATGGGGTGCAGGGCCCAAGCATTTGGGCCATCCTCCACTGCACTCCCTGGCCACAGCAGAGAGCTGGCCTGGAAGAGGGGCAACAGGGACAGACTCTGGCGCCCCGACCGGGACTAGAACCTGGGGTGCCGCTGCCACTAGGTGGAGGATTAGCCTGTTGAGCCGTGGCGCCGGCCGGCAATAATTTAATTTCATCATTTGTGCACCTCAGGATTAAGTATTGTTATGTTTTATACTTCTTTTTTACAAACAGTTTCTGGAAATAGTGCCCAGTTGCATATAATATGTTGATAAACCTTAGCAGTGATTAACTTAGCTTTACGTCTTCGAAGAAGCTTCTTGTACATCCCTTATGCTGGTTAGGTCCTCTCTACAGATTCTCTCATCTGGCATTATGGTAGAATTGCTTGTCTGTCCATTACACCCTATGTTTTATGGAAAAAACTGCCATATCCAACTTTATGCGCCTAGTTTAGTGATATGCGCTTTAAAAAAAAAGGCTAATTTATCAGGGAGTGTCTGGCCTAGTAGTTAAGATGCCTGCATCCCACACTGGGTTTGAATTCTGCCTCCATCTCCTGACTCCAGCTTCCTGCTATGGAAAAATACTGGAAGACAGCAGTGATGGCTCAAGTAATTGCGTTCCTGCCACCATACGGGAGACCTAGACAGAAGGTCCCTCTCCCTATCGAGTAAATCTATTAAGAATGAAATAATCTATTTTTAGGAAACATTTTTTTTAAAACGCAGTTATCTAACTAAACATCTTAATGACTAAATAAATATGAATACCGTGATCTTTATTTTATTGATTGTGCCATTTTACAGCCTAGAATTTGTCTCAGAGTGGTTATGTTTGGTTTGTGGAGAAAATAATTTATTTTAAGAACAGTTTTACCTGACCCTGGCTATTTCAGAATTCTGCTTTTGGACTGAGTTCTGGGCAAACATGTCACATCCCGCCTAAGGTAACAGAATGCCGCATCCCCAAGTGAGCAGCTCGGTTAGCTTTGTGTCCTGTGACCTCTTCCAGAGATGATCACAGTGATGCTACACTGTGAGCTCCTCCGTAAAACCAGGGGATTCAAGCTACGGTTTCCTGGGCTCAGAACTTAGGTCTGCCGCAAAGTAGGCAGCCCAATAAATTCTTGTACTTTCCAACTGGGCGCTCGCTATGAGTGCTTCTGTGTCACTAACAGGGCCTGCCACTGAAACCAGTTCGAAATTCCTACAATAACACCACCCTGAAACACCTGGGCTCATCTTTCAAGTACCAACCTGCGCGTGCTCTTCGCCGTGCCAGGAGCTGTCACTCCTTTTTACCTCTCAGAAATCCTTTCTTTTTCTTCATATGGTTTGTAGCTTTGAAAGCTAGCTAAATCCTGGTGAGGACTGCTCATACCATGGGTGTCTCGTGCAGCCTAAGGACGAATGGAGTACTTCTCACGATCCTGTTATTTTAAAAATTAAGTTATATTGTAAAAGTGAGTAGAGGACACCCCTTAAGAGTAGGGCTCCATGAATCCTTACATATCCACACACCCCTGCAACTCCCACCCCACTCCCTTTGGGTTCCCCTGTGCCTTTTCCCAACCAACACGCCCCTATCCTTCCGGGGGTAACCACTACACTAACTTCACACACACACACACACACACACACACATCCCGCCCACAGTCCTGAGGGGCTGGACGAGATCCGGGCTCGGGCTCGGGCTCGGATCCCTCCCTACAGGGCAGTTCGTGGGGGCCTCAGGGGTCCACGCAGCTACGACCCGGTCCAAACTGCGAGTCCTCGGGGTGGACCGCGGATCGCTCATCTCCAGCAGTGGCCGGAGTGCCCTCAGGACCAAGCGACAGACGCGCCAGGACCCACGTAGGCAGTGCCACAGCACGCCACAATGGCTGCCCGCAGAATCCCACGCCGGCCTCGCTGCACGCTCCCCACCTTTATAGCGGGCGCCCCTCCCGCGCCACGGGCAGCCGGGCGTGGCCCGGGGCGCGACCCTCCCGGGAAGCGAGCGGCCAGGGGAGGCGCTCCCGAGCCCGGGATGTGCGGCGCGCGCCCATTGGCGGAGCTTTCCCCCGCGGGCCGGCCGCCACAGCGCCCACCTCCCGGCCCTCACTCCGCGCCCCCATTGGCCGTTCACGTCCCACTGGCGCCCGCTCCCGCCCCGCTCCCGCCCGGATGGAAACCTGGTTGGGGAGTGGGAGGCCGAAGCGGGGAGGAGAGTGAGTGGTCCTTCGGGTAAGGGTGCGCGAGAGAACCAATCAGAAGCAGACGTGGAAAAGAGGCGCCGCACCAGCCAATCATAGCGCGAGGTGCGGTCGGGACCGGCTGACGCGAGTGCGGGCCGCAGCCAATGGGCGTGCCACTGCTCGTCCGCTCTTCAGCAGCCGGTCGGGGGCGGTGGAAGAGCGAGTGAGGAGAGCGCGACGGCGGCGGCGGCGGCGGCGGCGCGGCCATCGCTGGACGGCCAGAGGGAAAGCGAGGCCCGAGCCTCTGCGTCTAGGTGAGCGGCAGCGCCTCCTGAGAGGAAGCCGGGCTGCGGGGCTTGTTCTCGCCTGGCCGGGGCAGCGGCTGCGGGAGCCGGGGCGGCAGGCCAGGCCCCGGCGAAGGCAACGACCCGCCGCCCCGCCCCCGCCCCCACCCGCGTCCTCCCGGAGCTGGGGAGCCCGATTCAGCCAGGGTGGGCTCTGTCCGGCTGGGCGGGGCCGCCGCCGTCTGAGGGGCACTTAGGGAGGGGCCTGGTTTGCAGCCGCGGATCCCGGGGGCGCCGCCTGGGGTGGGAGGCCTCGTAGAGGTGGCGAAGGTGGAGAGGAGTTGTTAACGGGGGAGCGGGTTCTTGTGCTCCAGGGAGCGTGGCGGCAAGAGGCGGCCTGTGCTTGAAGCATCCCGGGCTTTGGAGAGGAAGAAAGTGATGGGGAAGGGGTGATGCTCAGAGAAGGGTGCCCGGGGCGAAGGCGCGGGGCTGGGGAGTGCGGTTGGCCTCTTGGAAGTGGCATCAGTAGAGACTGGGGGGACATCAGGCTCGGGCTTTGAAGGTTAGGGTGTTTGAACAGAGGGGGACACGTGGATGTGGGGCGAGAGGCTCACCCACTGAAACCGGAAGGTGACTGAAGGGAGAAGGGTTTAGGCGAGGTGTGGATGGAGAGGCTGTTTGGAGGCGCCGTGTGGCTTCCTAGGAGAAAGTATATGAGTACGCGGAGCAGACGTGGTAGATTTATGTGTGGTAGCTGAAGGCTGTGAATCTTTTATGAGTAATTGAGCAAGAGCAGCTGTCCGTTTCCGCAGTCGGGAGAGGCGGATGTGCTGTGTAGAAGGAGTCAGGTTCATTCAGCCCTGGTCATCCAGGGCCTCTCAGATTTGCTAACTTTCACTTAGTGAGCATTGCCTCTCCGCCCTTCTTCCCGCCCCCTTCCTTGACAGTCTCCGTGGCACACAAACTCACCTTCCCAGAAGTAATGGCCTGAATACTGTTTGTTTTTGATTGCATGGCAATGAGGAACCGCCTCGTACTTTATATTAAAACATGTGGACGACATCAGAAGATACACCCCAGAAACTCTGCCCTGCAGGGGAGTTTCTCAACTCTCTTGTTAGAGTGTAATATAGCATGAAAATGATGCAAGATCTCTTACCGTCACACCAGGGAGAATTACATAGGTGTAATTCTTTTATTCTATAGGATCAACTATTTTGATGTAATAGAATTTGATAATAGGTTATGCATGTTGGGAAACTCTGCAGCTGTCGGGGAGAGTTTTGTGCTAAGTAGGTTGAAAGTTGCTTTCACTCAGAGGAAAGAAAGTCATGGTATGTGTGTATCACTGTACTGCGTTTCTGTTTGACACTTTAGGAGTTTTTATTGGTGGAGTGTGGGCAGAGGTTGGGGATGCAGAAAAGGTAGAAGGAAAAGAAGGTGACCCCCTACCCCATTTCTAAAAGATTTATATGGGAGAGATACTTTCCTCTTACAGACAGAAGATTTTGAAGAGATGAAGAACCAAAAATAGATAAAGAAACCAAAGAGCATTTGTTGGTATAGGATATATCTTTGTTAATTAAAGAGAAAAATAGCGTTATATTAAAGGAACGTTCTTAGGGATGTAGAAATTATTTTGTGGAAGGTATTTCTGGTAACACTATTCATTGTAATCACATTTTACCCTTAGTATAACAATACCTAAGTGCTCAGTCGCCTGGAACAGAGAAGTAATCTGAGTGGTGTCGAGTCATCAGGGAAGGTTTCCTGACAGAGATGAGTTTTGAGCCATTATTTGAAGCAGGATTTGGGATAATGGGTTACTAGAAGACGAGAGCATGCATTCTGCAAGTTTGAATGTAGTATAAGGCATTGATAGGAATGACAAGTTAAAAGTTTTTAAAGGAGAGGTAAAAATTTGAAAGAAGATTTAGGCGTGTAGAAATTAACTCAGCCTGTTTTTGCAGCTTAGTTGATAAATGATGGGTCTTTGGTGGTTGGGAGAGAATTAGAATAATTAATGGTGAATTGGAGATAAGCAGTAAAGGAAAAAGAACGCAAATATTTTTGGTAATTATGATACAAGAATGTGGTGAAAATAAGTTGAGTTATTGAAAGGTAGATTTCATAGTCAACCATATATAATAAGAAACATTTTTGAGACCTATACTAGATTGTATTGATAATAATTGCAAGTGTTACACTGAGCTACTTTGTGCCAGTCACTGTTTTAAGCTTCTCAAGTATCTTCTTTTGATTATGTTTTATAAGTGAGGGAGCTGAGATTCAGAAAGATTTAACTTGCGCAAGTTCACGCAGCTAGTAAGTGGCAGGTAAAAATGGGCAAAATCGGTCAATGAACATTACTTGAACATCTGCATGATGCCAAGCAGTATGTTCAATGCCGGGGATTCAAAGCAGACAAGAAAATCCAAAGGTTAGGTCCGAGCCGTTGTTTTAGAGATTACCAGAAGTTTATAGAAGACAGTCCAGTTAAAAAAGAAGAGATTACTAGAAGGTTTTTTTGTAAGGAATACTCACACACTGTTCAGAGCAACCTAGGATGGAAACAGTTTTAAGAAAGAGGAAATCGTCAGCAGCAAAATATGGGAGACTCAGAAGAACAATGAGAAGAAACCATTGATTAAGTAAGAAAAAAAAGTATTGTTGAGTTTAGTCTTAAGAAAGCTGGAATAATGTTGTTAAGATATGGGCTGGTGGTTATTTATGCTTAGTGGCAAGTAATCCATACAAATTTTTTATGATCACAATTATGGTCAAATTCATAAGAAAGATGATGGTATGGACCCTTGTAATACTTTAATCTTCAGTTAGATCATGGTTTGTTTAAAAATACTTGTAATTTTGTTATTTTTCCCAAATTTAAAAAAGAACTTTTTTTTATGATTAGGAGGGGAAAAAATCCATTCAATAGAAATGAACTAGTAGTGAGGAAATATTGTGGATAGGCAAGTCTGCACTTGGGATAGGAGAAACATGTATGTCTACTACATATGAGCCATGTTGATAGGCATGTTCCCAACTGGAAAGGCCTGGATTCTTACTGGTAGAAACTGAAACTGTACATACTGAAAGATGGCATTTGCTTAATCTCTGGGATCAAGTTACTGAAGCACTCTGGATCATGGAGATCATAATTCTTTTGAACATTTGTTTGGCTTAGAGTTTAATAAATGAATTTAAGGTTAAAAGAAGACAACAAATCACTCTTAGAATTGAGTAATTTTAAGAGTTTATTTTGGCCTGTACCCTTCTTCCCACACATTGTTTCTGTCGTTCTTCTCTTCAGTGTGTTTCTGATAGGCTTAGGGTTTTAGTTCAGTAAGACAATATGAAGATGCTGAATTTATATATAACTGGTAGATTTCAACACTTAAAAATTCATCATTTTCTTTTCCCAGTTTGAAGAAGAAAAATGGCAATACAGAGAAAAATATTTTTTAATTAGGTAATCATTTTGAAGCAAACTGTAGGACTTGCCCTACCGTCAAAACATACTGAATCTAATTTCTTAAATGGAAAGAGAGGAGTCTTGTAAGTCGGTCTCGTTTTTAGTTTAATCTGGCCCATTGGGGTTGTGGGAAGAAACTTAATGTGATTCCTCTTTCATCTAGGGGCTTCCCTGATTCCTTAAATAAATGGTCACATTTAATTTTCATTTAATTCTCTGCCATGTATATTCCATTTTACAGATGAGCATCAGGATCAGAGAAGTTAGTGACTTTGCAAAGCATGGATGGAGAACCAAGTGGTAGAGCTGGGATTCAACCTTTGCTTTGTCTAGTTCCAAAACTCATGCATATGAGACAGGTAGCAAGAAGGGCTGCTTTATATTTATATCTACAATTGGAAATGTGCCACACGACCGTAGGTATTTGGTAACTAATTGTTGCCTTAAAAGATGAGACTCTTGCTGTCAGTGTTTGTACCTTGTGATGCAGCCTCTAAGTAAATCAGTGATTTGTCTGTGCATATTGTGCATTATGTTACATTTTCTTGCTTGTAGAAGTATATCTTTTTAAATGATGCATTTATAGCGTCTGTATGTCAAAATGTATATGAGATTGATACTATCTTAAAGTCAGATGCGGAAATGTGGCATATACTTAATCTCCATGCATAACCATCTTATAAATTTGTCGCATAGATTTTCCCTACACTCTTCCATGTACTTATCCTATTAAGTTCCTTTTTAGATGTGACACAATGTAAAGTATATTACTAATAAAATAGCTCATTCTCTTTAAGTAATTTTATGGTATAGGGAAAAATTGCTGTGGTGTAGAAAACTCTTATTGAACTGTGAATCAGCAGATTTGTGTTTTAATTTTAGTTTTGTTAGCAACTTGATGTATAATTTAAGGCAAGTCACTTCCCTACTCTCAGCTTTAGTTTCCTCATCTGTAAGATGGAAGTGGGGGCGGGGAGCTTTTAAGCCTGTCTGGCTTAAACAAGCTTTGCCTTCTTTCTGATTAAAAACATGGATTTCTTAGGTATACTAACTGTTTAAGACTGTAGTGTTGCTTTTTGCTACTTTTCTTTTTATCTCCCTGTTGCCCCTTCCTGCCCATTTTGTCACGCAGCCTTAAGGGTATGGTCAGGTTTTTAATTTAGAGAGAATAAATTGTTTTTGATATATTTATCAAGACAGCATATCTTAGCAAATACTCAGTAAATTGTAATGAATGAATAAAAGCTTGTTTTGTCTAAAAATCATTTAAACAAAATATCATTAAAAAAGGTAAAGTTTCATTGGAAGGTAGTTCTGCCTAAAGTAAGAAATATGCATGGTAAAGTGAAATTCATCTGTTCTGTGCTGGACAGATATTTGAAGAAGAAAAACCCTTGGACCTGTCCTTAAAAAGCTCTCTGTTACTGGTAGGAAATGCAAACTCTGTGTTATGGAAAATTGCAAACAATAATATGCATACCTATCACCAACTTTCACAGTTATCAACTGTGGTCAGTCTTGCCTCATTTATACCTCCAACCACTTCTTTTCTTTA